AGTGACAGACATGCCACCAAAGGCGAGTTGTTTTGCTCTTGTGTTCCGGAAATTGAGGGCTCTGATCTTGTGCCGGCCTCCCCTTGCCTTTTAGGGGGTCTTCCCCCCCACCCCTTTTTCTTTTCGCAGAGAACGGGGACTGTGAATCACCCACTGGCTTGGCCGGAGCAGCTCACCCTGCTATCCAGTGGAATTCTAGCAGGGAGGGAAAATCGCTCCCAACCCGTTTTCCCAAGAGGGTCCCTGATCCACAGTGCTGAGCGGGGAAAGAGACACCGAGGCTTAAATTCCTGTTTTCTAACTTAGAGTAACACCAGCCTTAGGAAGGGACTTAACTGCAGCCTTTCAGATGTAAGGGGTGTGTGTCCCAGGTTCTTTAATTGGCCTGCTAGCTCACAGTTACCTTAAAGGTAAAGGTAAAGGTTCCCTTTGACAATTTTTTGTGTCCAGTCGTGTCCAACTCTAGGGCATGATGCTCATCCCCGTTTCCAAGCCATAGAGCCAGCTTTTGTCGGAAGACAATCTTCCGTGGTCACATGGCCAGTGTGACTTAGACACTGAATGCTGTTACCTTCCCACCGAGGTGGTCCCTATTTATCTACTCGCATTTGCATGCTTTCGAACAGCTAGGTTGGCAGGAGCTGGGACAGGCGACGGGCGCTCACTCTGTCGCGTGGATTCGATCTTACGACTGTTTGGTCTTCTGACCTTGCAGCACAGGCTTCTGCGGTTTAGCCCACAGCACCCACCACGTCCCTTACTCACCCTCAAGTCGCACCCACTTGGGTTTTCAAAGTATCATGCATTTGAGGAAGGACTATAGTATTGCCGGCTTGTCTTCCCATGAGTTTTCATGGTCCAGCTAGGATTTGAACCCAAGTCTTTGGAGTCCTAACCTCTCTCCCCTAGGAAACGCTGGCTCTCCTTAATGGACTAGATGGTCCCTCAAAAGGATAAGGTGGGGATGAAAAAGGGTCCCTCTACTTCTTCTGTAGAAAGGGCTGGCAGCCTCCATTCAGATGCCCCAGGATGTGAGTGAATGGGAGGGGGAGGAGAGAAGACTTTGAAGTCAGCTCTGCTAAATCCTCGATCTCTGCTTCCCAAAGCAAATTGTAGGTTAAAGTTGAAGCAGCTCAGCAGGAGGGAGGAAGAGAAGCAGGTATCCCTGGGAGAGGGCAAAAGGCACAGGCACTTACTCCTGCCCTCCTACATTTATTTTTAATTTTATACAATTTATTCTATATATCTTAGAACTGCAGAGCTGGAAGCGACCCTATGGATCATTGAGTCCAGCCCTGGTCAAGGAGGCCCAGTGGGGGAGTTGAACCCCCACCCTCTGGCTCCCCAGCCAGAGACCTCAGCCACCGAGCTATCCAGCAGGGTTTATTTTTAAACCAGGACAGATGCACTGGGTTGCAGTGGCATACACTATGCGCACAATTTATGCAAGCAAAACACGATGAAGCTCTGCGGCCTTCTTCCACCAGACCACTCTTGCATAGAGACCTGGGTTACAAGATGCCTCCTTATGGCCAGAAAGTTGTGAATTCCCAGTGTGGTGTAGTGGGCAGAGTGATGAGCTAGGACTCTGGAGAACAGGGTTGAATCCTGGCCACAGAAATTCACTGGAGGAGTGGAACTGGTAAAACCACTCCAGAGGTACCTCATTTACCTTGAAAAAACTACTATTAGGGTTGCTATAAGTCAGTTCCGACATGATGGCCGAGGACACCTCCAAACCCAAACTCCGGCATTGCACCCCCATAAGGGACGTGGACATGACACAAGCACTCATCATTGACATGGACGTGGACATGACACAAGCACTGATCATTGTTCAGATTGTGCTGGAACAACGCCTGAGCGTTGCAATTTGCTCTGCTGAGGCAGGGCAAAGTCCTCAAAACATTTGCCAGCCAATTTTAAAGGCGCCCAGATATTACTCTTATGTTGTTCTGGCAGGAGAATAAGTCAGTGTGGTTTCTGTCTGTTCACATTCCAGTGTGGCCAAGGAACAATGTTTTGCATTCTTCTTGTTTACCTTCAACAGACAGGTACTCTGGTGAATTGGGCCAGAACTGGGGACTGCATATATCCAGAGAGAGAAAAGCTGAATGGAGCCCTCAGGAAAGTTGGGGGCAAGGAACATGATTAGTATGGCACTCATCCATTCTGCAGTGTAGGCACTCGTCATGTCAGCAACGCCCTCAAGGAGAGTTTAAAAATACAGGCAACTATTAAAATCTGCATGAATAATCTATATTTAGTATTTTTCATCTTCATCAGGAGGCGGTGTTTCTAAAAAGCTGGTGTGTCTTACTTTTGTGTTCAAATTCAGAACGCATCAGATCAGATCAGTTAATTTTCAAAAAATGAAAAAAAAAAACCTTCATTTTTTTTCCTCCACAGCTACTGTGTGGGTTGCAGCTAAATTCAGAAAGGAGAGGGAATCCTGAAGGTGGCAGACGATGCCACTGTCCCAGCAAATGCTAAAGGCATGATGCTCTGACCCTGTGAGCCCTGGCACCACTACACCACTGATTTTTGCCCCCAAGGGAACAAACCATCAGGCAAGGAGACAATTTTAGCTTTCTGCTGCCTAAAGGAATGTCTGCCAGTCGTCCCTGCGACATCCCCCTCCAGTCTAGTAGAGAAGCACAGCACGTGCTTTCTCTGAGTCCCAACAAGCTCTCCAAGGAGATTCCAAAGATGAGGAGCAGAAAACGCACACTGGCCATCTCACCTGCGAAATGTTCTCGGAAAGAAGCAAAGGACCTCAGTGTTCATTGCCAGGTGGCTGAGTTGTTTCAACAGGTCATGTCTTTCTCTTTTCTATTTGGATCAGTGGTTCCCAACTGTGGGCCCCGAGATGTTCTTGGACTACAACTCCCAGGAATCTGGGCCAGCACAGCTAGTAGTAAAAGCCTTTGGTGGTGGTGGTGGTGCTGGTGGTAGTAGTCGTTGTCGTAGTCTACGACGACACGATGATGATGATGATGATAATAACAATAACAATAACAACAACAACAACAATACTACTACTACTACTACTACTACTACTACTACTACTACTACTACTACTACTACTACTACTACTAATAATAATAATAATAATAATAATAATAATAATAATAATAATAATAATAATAATAATAATAATAATAATAATAATAATAATAATAATAATAATAATAATAATAATAATAATAATAATAATAATAATAATAATAATAATAATAATAATAATAATAATAATAATAATAATAATAATAATAATAATAATAATAATAATAATAATAATAATAATAATAATAATAATAATAATAATAATAATAATAATAATAATAATAATAATAATAATAATAATAATAATAATAATAATAATAATAATAATAAAAGTACAGTTAGTGACCAGGAAGATAAAGACTTTGGGAGTTTAATCTGAGAACATTTATTATTATTATTATTTATTTAATTTATACCCTGCCTATCTGGTCGGGGACCCAAGGTTGGGAAGACTGATTTAGATTCTGGAGAATCCACATGGGATGAACAACAGGGGTCTTTTGTTTGGTCTAGCACCTCACATGCTACTTTTGACTCACATCATTGCAGGTTACTGTGATAATTAACAGTAGCTGTGACTTAACACCCAGCATTTGTTTTGGTGCAGAGGTGGTGGTGGGGAAGTTGTGTGGCTTTCTCATTGTTGCTCAATTGCAACCCCCATCAGTCCTAGCCACCATAGCCAATGCTGAGGGATGATGGGTGCTGCAATCTTAACACATTTGGGAGGGCCATGATTATTGGACCCCACAGATAGCAGTTCCAACTACTTGGCACCACTGGTCTGTAAACATTTAAAAAAGTCAGGTAAGTCAGTGTTGGTTCTTCTGTATAATAGTTTAGGCCAGGGGGCTTAAAAATAATGTTTGGCTTAGAGCCACCTGGTAAATTCTTCATGGCCAAGGCAAGATTTGGACCTCTGTCTGCTCGCTCTCTTAGGCATGCAGTTTTTAAACTATCAGCTCTCCGTCAAAGTATACTTTGCACCTAACCCACCAGTGCAGCTGCAGTCACCTTGGTGTTGGAGAGAAGTGATTGAGGCAGTCTTCCGAGGAATCTCATGCTTAAAGCCTTAAGGCCAGTTTCAAAAGGGAGCAAGCTAATTTGCAAATTGTGAGAGGTGAGAAATCAGGTCTAGATCTGAAGAAACTCCCTCTTCTAGAGACCGGTTATCCTGAAGGACAGTCCAGCTTGACATGATCTCTGCTCAAAGCCAAAACATTCCAATGAAGTGAAAGCTGAACGCACAAAAGGCTCACCAACGCCTCAGTGGATTCTTGAGCACTCAGCCTGGAATAATCAAGCCCCTTTGTGTTCTTTTTTGTCTCTCCTTTCCTGCAGGCACTTGCCTTCTGTCGTGGGCTTCTCGGCCATCATGGGGAGCAAGACTCTGCCTGCCCCTGTGCCCATCCACCCTTCCCTGCAGCTCACCAACTATTCCTTTCTGCAAGCCTTCAATGGCCTGCCCGCCGTCCCTTCGGACCACCTGCCCAACCTCTACGGCTTCAGCGCCCTCCACGCCGTTCACCTCCACCAATGGACCCTGGGCTACCCGGCCATGCATTTGCCTCGCTCGTCTTTTTCCAAAGTGCCCGGCGTGGCCAGCCTGGTGGATGCCCGATTCCAGCTGCCTGCCTTCCCTCTCTTCCCCCACGTCATCCATCCTAAGCATGAAGCCACCAACATGCCTCTCAAAGCCAAGCCCAGATTTGATTTCGCCAACCTGGCCGTGGCAGCTACGCAGGAGGACCCTTCCAAACTGGGACAGATGGAGAGCCAGGGCTCCCCTCCCGGCCTGGGCTCCTTGCTGGAGGTCACCAAACTTTCCCCGGAGAAGAAGCCCACCCGCGGGAGGCTACCTTCCAAAACCAAGAAGGAATTTGTGTGCAAATTCTGTGGCAGACACTTCACCAAGTCGTACAACCTGTTGATTCACGAAAGAACCCACACAGACGAAAGGCCGTACACATGTGACATTTGCCACAAGGCCTTCCGAAGGCAAGATCACTTGAGGGATCACAGGTAGGTCCAGAGATGGGGCGGATATGTGGGCATCCAGAGGTCACCCCACTGCATATCCCATCACCCTTCACTGTTGGCTACACTAGTTAAGACTGATGGGGGATGGAATCTAACCACGTCTGGAGGGTTATATGTTCTGCCTCCCTTATTTAATGGGTTAATAATACTAATACTGATACTGATACTGATACTGATACTGATACTACTACTACTACTACTACTACTACTATTATTATTATTATTATAATAACAGCACATAATCTCATAAATATGTATATTTATGAGATAAATATATATAAATATCAAATTTCATTTTGAGATATATTTTAGTATTGTTAGATGCCTTTTTGGTGCAAAGTTCAGAAGTGCAATAAATAAATAAAATGCCCATGTTTATTGTAAATCATTTTACAACGTATCTCCCCAAATCTTTACTATAGCACAGCTTGGATAGGCGTCATTAGATATAAACAAATACTAAGACACTCTGTTAGTCATGCCCTTTACCTGTTGGGTACCTCAGAAGTTAAAAAAACAAACAAAAAGCCAAAATAAATTCTAATAGAAAAGTAAAATAAGTAGTTTCTAATATGCAGTGGTGCTATTGGTTAACTTCACATGAAGTTTAGACAACTTGTGGTCCTCCAGACGCTTCTAAACTGCAGCTCTGAACCCACTAGCCAGAAATGTCGGTGCTGAGTGATGAGGATGGAGGGTGGGTTCAGTTCACCTTTGGAAGACTGCAAGTTGCCTATCCCTGTTTAGAGTCAGGATTTAATCATTATGTTGGGGGGAGGGGAGTGAGACCCAGATTGTTAGATCATCTGCCCAAACCTTGGTCACTTTTTTTTGATGGATGGAAACTTCAGTCCAAAATATTCGGAGGGTGTCTTGGTGGAGAAGGCCATTGTATTTGGTAAGGTGGACTACTTTGATTAATTAAAAATGTGATAGATCAGCCCTGCTGTATTGGGTAGTTTTTCCGATTGTTCTGCTAAGTTGAGCTCAGGAAAGCCTCAGAGTCTTTCCTTGACACCAGCATTGGGATCTTGATGCACCCTGCCATTTACTAATACGTCTTATTTTTCATTGTCACATGCAAGTTAGTAATGAACTTTATGAAATATCTCAGAGGCAGTGAGCTAGGAGGGGAGCTCCTATTTACCAGGTGCCCTGAGGCTTCCTCTGTAACAGACTCTCCTCTATTAAATAATCTGCATCCATGTTGTCCCACTGTGACGGAGAAATATCCATTACCCAAACTCATACCTCCCTTAGCGAGCACATATATTTTCAAGGGGTAAGAAAGAAGGTTTCAAAACAGGATACATGGCCAAGATGTTTAAAACTGATTTCACCTCCCTAGTGTGAAGACAATGGCCATTATACACCCTAACCCTTCCCCAACTCTAGAGGCCCAGGACTATACTTCTTATCATTCCAATCACTAGCGCCCAATGTCTGTGCTGACTGGGGAGGCTGGATATTACAGACAGAAATTTCTGACAGGCTTCAGCTTAGACAAAAATGCTACACAAATCGATGTAGTATGCCCCATCTGAACGCCAGGGGACTTCCTTCTGAGCAGGCAAACTGACAGTGCTGATCAATTGATCTAATAAGTGGCTTCATGGCTCTCTGGCCCTGGAAGGTAGTCTGAGGAGTCTCTGCCAACTTCGCAGACCTTTGCAATAACATAGGGACAGGCAAATCACAGCGTATACCAGGACAAAGAGGAATGGAGAAACCAGTGTCAAAGCAGCTGCGAAACGTTGGACTCCGAGTCCCATTGAGTCAGACCCCGTGTCCCACACCAGTTCTAATGATGTCTATTTTGGCCGGCAGTGACTTTCCAAGGTGGTTGGGTCTCCCCTATCCTCCGTAGATGGGGATATACAGTAACTGATACACTTTGGACCCTAAATGAGTTTGCATTAACCTTTTCAACAAATGAAAACTTTACTTATGTCCCAACTGGGAGAGCCCTGAGACAGACAGGAATGAGAGATAGGGCTTGACCTCTCTTGGCCTGATGGGCCAGCTGGATTAGGCCCTCTCCTTGGAAGAGGTACCTTCTCACGTTGGCCTTCAATGAATTAGGATAGTCATTCCTAGGCACTGTTGTGCGTATCAGATGATCTTGATTTAACTAATCTGTGTTCTGTACAAAGAATACTTATTTACATGTCATTCTTTTTATTCTGATCACTATTTTTAAATTATTGTTCTATCATGTTTTATAGCTTCACGCTTTTAAAATGCTCCTTTGAATGGGAGTGGTTATGTTGAAAGGGAACTTAAAAATAAATCTTTCCAATAACTACTAAATAAAACAACAGGAGCAGCCACAAAGACAGTGTTCCACATTATTCAGCTATTTGAGTTCAACCCCGTTTTATCCTGCTCCTACTGAAAACAACTTCATGGAAGAAATCCTACTGAGATTCAGTGGAATTTATTGGGTCAATCCTTTTATCCCATTTAGTGCAATGGGAGTAAAGCTGGAGTAGTGGGTTAAAAGGCATATCTACTGGCAGATCTACTTTGTGGATGAGGTCTTACTTATTTATTCATTTTGTTTCTTCCCACCATAAGCTTTTCAGTTTCTGATGTACTCCTCACCACAAGTGAGCCCAAAGGTTGATATTTACATGAGGGAAGCTCAGCCACATCTCAATCATAACAATACCTCTACCCGGCTGGTACTTGACTTCCATATTTCCAGTTTCAGAATGAAAATATATTTATGCAACAAATTTAAACCAGTTTCGAACTGCAGTGGCTGTCAGCCAAGTAACCTCGGAAGCTTTACAGAGAATTACGCTTGGCTTCCCAAATTGCTCTTGGCATTCCTGATAGATAAACTGGATTCAGATCAGTTTGAACTAGCAGTGTAAGTGTATTTCAAGGACCAGTCCCCAACTGTGGAGAGCGCCACTGGAGGCAGGTTCTCTCTAGTTTCCAAGAGATACTGCTCATTCCAGCTTCAGTGTTTCAGATTCCCCCCCCCCCCGCCAATCCATTAATTTCCCCCTCTGTTTTACTTCTGACAATTTCTGTGAGCAGGAAAGCTTGAGTGAACCTCTAAGGAGCTTTCTAAAGAAAATACCAGTAATAGTTTCCAGGGGATTGAAGCTTTCGTTATTTAATTTATAGACTGCCCTGCCACAGAAGCCCAGTAATTAAAAAAGAAAAGGAAAGAAAAAGGCAAACAGTAACTTTATGATTCCCGCCTTGAACGAGGGGAAGTAAAAGGTGACTGTATGTTTTCGACTTGAAGCCCTCCCCTTGGCTACAGTCAAGCAGCAGAATTTGAATATCATGAAAGGGCAGCTCATTGTTAGTTTTCTTTTCCTTTTCGTCCTTTATTGTATTGTTAGTGGCAGGAGTGTGGAGAGGTGCTGATTGGGATTTGCTTCATGCACTAAAATGCTGTGTCATGACATGGAGGAGTGATTTGACGTGTACCTCAGGCAGTCGAGTGGCCTGCCTGAAAGTCTGGCTGATGGGTTGAAGTTGAGGAAAGGGTTAAACCCCTTTCTCCCAAGATGGCTGCTCTGAACACCCTTCAGCAGTCATTCTTAAGGGGACCAGATCAAGAGATCTGAGATCTGATCTGAGCTCCTCTGATCCTCCCGTTTCAGCCTGTATCCTAGGCTACTGGAGAGGCCATGGTGCCACGCTGGAAATTTTAACTCGAGGGTCATGACTCATGGAAATCGGCATAAAACATTGAGTGTCAGCACAAAGTTATATGCTTGTACGGTTTAACTTTATGTGCCTCTAGGGTTTCATCCATTCCCTTGAGTGTAACCACAGCTAAATCGGGCTCAATCTCATTAAACAGGATTTATGCCCTATTAAAATCAATGGACGCTGCATGCATGGCACTGCAGGCTGCAATGAAACCCAGCCTCCAGTGATCTCTTTGGGGCTCAGGAGCACTCACTGGGTGCGTGGGGGTGCACTTCAACAGAAAGGAAAACTCCAGCTGGGCTTCCCTGTTCACATCAAGGAGCAGAACATAATTTTGAAATGAATACAGCAGCTTGGACGCCCTAGATCAGTGGTCCTCAACCTTGGGCCTCCAGATGTTCTTGGACTTCAACTCCCAGAAATCCTGGCCAGCAGAGATGGTGGTGAAGGCTTCTGGGAGCTGTAGTCCAAGAACAGCTAGAGGCCCAAGGTTGGGGACGGACACCCTAGATGACACTTCTAGGCCCTCAACTATAGGAAGGGCAGTTTGGTTCCAGATACCAAGGCTCCCTCTTGAACGAGGTTTGCCCAAAGAGTAGCAGCTCCAGCTTTTCAAGGGACCTCAGTCAAAAACTTTTCCCTTGGTGATTTCTTATCTAGGCCCTCAACTATAGGAAGGGCAATTTGGTTCCAGATAGCAAGGCTCCCTCTTGAACGAGGTTTGCCCAAAGAGTAGCAGCTCCAGCTTTTCAAGGGACCTCAGTCAAAAACATTTCCCTCGGTGATTTCTTTCTCCTCATCCCTGTTGTCATCTCCTCCTCATCTTCACTGTAGTCATTTGGTTGCTTGGCAGGCAGAACAGACCCAGGCAGAGGCATTGAATGCACTTCCTTCTCCCGCCAGCTGTTGCCAGGTCAGACACAGAGATCAATATGTTGCAGACTAAGGGAAGCCAATCCAGGGGGGAATGTTCTTATTAGGCCCCTGCTGGTCTGTGGGGCCTCGGCAGGTGCCTCGCCATATTGACCTTTGATCCTGGCTCTGATTGTGTGTTCCAGACAGCAGAGACAGAAATATGTTTTGATAGAGAGGTCAAATGTACATTTAAAAAAAACCCAAAAACCAAAACCAAAACCTATTTCTTCTTCTTTCCCCAGATATATCCACTCCAAAGAAAAGCCCTTTAAATGTCAAGAATGTGGGAAAGGATTTTGCCAGTCCAGGACTCTAGCTGTTCACAAGACACTACACACACAAGTAAAAGAACTGAAACCTTCCAAAATGAAATGCTAAAGCTTCTGGTGCCTCCTGTGATCTTCATCCCCCGACCATTCTGCATTCTAGACCAAAATTCTCGACAGAGACAACGGGAAACACGGAACATTGTTAATTTAAATTTTAAAAAACCCAAAGAGAGTTGAAAAACACACACACACACACACACACAAGCCTTCTCTATATCCAAAGACAGACAGCCTTTCCAGAACCCTGGTGTTTCCGAGTGTAAGTCTTGCATGACTCCACTAAACATTACGTCAAAAGGTGGTGCTCAAGTATTGAAGAGGAACCGTCGCCATTGACTCACACCGAAAGCGGCTTCTTGAAGTTTTTTTGCTGAAAAGAAAAAGCTACCCTCCTGTGGGTGTGTGGGTGGGTGTTTCTGCGTGACTATTTAAAAGTTCAGAATTCATACACTTGAGGAGAAGAAATGGCTCAAGTAACTGACTGCACAGTTGGGGCACCTTGAGATTGGAAGGACAACCCACAGACAAACTGTGTATGTGTGTGTGGGGGGAGGAAAGAGGGCTCCCCCCAAATGGCTCTCCTGTCCCACAGAACAGACCCTTGCTGTTCTTTACAGAATTTAACACCTTCGTTGTCTTCCATCCATCGGTGGGTTTCCTCCTCTACACACACTCTGGCAAGCATCCTGGGGTTTTTGTTTGTTTGGCTGCGGGTCTAGTGCCTTGTAATTTGTGGATTTATTTAAACAAAAACAAAACAAAGCCGATGCAAGGTGAGAAAGGGGAAGCTTGACCACAGTAAATCAAAGTGACTGCTGTGCACAGCAGGAAGCGTAGTGGTACTTTCAAGTTGGCCGGGGTGTCCGGATGGCTTTGTGGGGGTGGGGTTTGACCGAGCTCAACCGGAGAGTTTATCTGAAGTCATCTTTGTGTTGTTTTTTTTCTTCTTAACAGTGTAAAATAATAATAATAATTGAGACATTCCAATATGTTTTGGGTTAAAGTTATTGCTATTTGGCACTTTATGCTGATTCTTGATAATGAACATTTATCACTGGATTTATTTGGTTTTGGTTGTTTTTTTTTTTTAAGTATTAAAATAAATCGGTATTTTACAGGCAGATGTTGTCCGGTGACCTTTTCAATCTCTGGGTTGAACATGTTCTTAGCAAGTACTTTTGCTTTCTGTTGTGATCCTGCACTGCTATTGTTCTGGGATTGTTTCCTGGAATGCGAATCCGTTGATGGATCTGAAGCCGATGAAACACATTTTTGAAAGAAAAAAGAAAAAAGAAAGATCACTGTGTCGCCTTCAGGATTACTGAATTTATTTTAGTATTGACAGATAACAATGGACTTGTTCAAATCCATGCAGTACAGTGTTCAAGCATAGGTTGTTATGCAATTTGTCATGTTTATGGCAATCCCATTTATCATCTGCACAGAAAGTTCCATCCATTTTAGTGAGACTTTCACTCCCAGGTAAAAGGGCAGAGGATCAATGCTGGAAGATATAATGGTGTGTATGTGTGTGTGAACTTTGGCCCTCTGGCTCCTATTATTGAACATCTGGTATGGCCCATGTTAAAGGGAATTTTAGTCTAAAACAATAGTTCCCAAACTTGGGTAACCCAGATGTTCTTGGACTGCAATTCCCAGAAGCCTTTGCTACCAACTGGTAAGAATTGATGTGACATGGCGGGGGGGGGAACCACTTGCCCTTAGGATTCTGCAAATACTTTGATTTGAATTATCATTTTGTTATTCATCACACCAACATCCATCCATTGTATCACAGTAACCAAAACAAATATTTTTTAAAAAAAGATATACCCACCCATCTTATTTGTATGTGGTTGCGAAAGGATAGCTCAGGAGATTAAGTTTAACCAGAATAATTTGTGTTGATTGGTCCCTCAGTGCTTGCTTCTTGTTGTTATGTGTCATCAACTCGCCCCTGACTTTATGGAGACCCTAGGAATGAGTGATCTCCAGAATGTCCTCTGTTCTCAACAGCCCTGTTCAGTTCTTGTAGACTCAAGCCTTGTGGTTTCTCTAGAGAGTCGGTCCCTCTCATATTTGGCCTTCCTCTTTTCCTGCTGCCTTCCATCTTTCCCAGCAATATAGTCTTCTCCAGTAAGTGTTCTCATGATGCGCCCAAAGTAGGACAGCCTCAGTTTCACCATTTTTGCTTCCAAAGAAAAAAAACAGACTTTATTTGATCTAGCATCCACTCGGTCATCTTTCTGGTAGTCCAGGATATCTCCAAATCTCCAGTGCCACATTTCAAGTGAATCAAGTTTCTTCCAGTCAGCTTTCTTTACTGTCCAGTTTGCATAAATTATGATGAAAAAAGCACTTTCTAACGAGCACAGAATGTGTGAACTGACAACATTGGAACATTCTGTAAGATCAATCATGTGAGGGCTTAATGCAAATGCAAGTCATATCATGCTGGTAACTTCAGGATATATGAGCAAGCGCAAGAATGACGTTTCCCATGGATCACAGTTGTAATTTCTGTCTGGATTTTGATCATGAAGCCTTGGAGTCTAATCCCAGATGTTGTGTTGTACTGTATGTGTTCTGTTGCCATCAAATCAGAACCAACCGCTAGCGATCCTAATGAGGCTTCCAAGGTAAGTGAGATACTTAAGGACTGTCTTTACCAGTTCCCCCCTCTGGCCTCCAGTGAATTTCTACAACCAAGTGGAGATTCGAACCCAGTCCTCTTGAGTCTCAGTCAGTCACTCTACCCACTACACCACACTGCGTAGCTCAGATTGAACTTGTCACCATTTCCTGAACTGATACCTTCTAGATGTGTTGGATGACAAACATAATCCCCATTTAGGAGCATACTAAGATCCATTTTGAAACCTTATCTATTGGCCTGCCACTAAGACCTGTAAGGGTGACAGGCAGTCAGGATATATCCTTCTCAATGGTCAGTCTTACCTTTTGGGATTTCCTCCCATGAGAAATGAAGTTAGTTCCCTCCTTGGCTGTTTCTAATTCTCACCCACCTGGAGGGTATCGTTCAGTCTCTTTGAGTTTTGTTTTGTTGCCGGGCCCCCAGACGACTAGATCTACAAAGTAGGTGTTCTCCAACTTTTACCTGTTTATTTTAAAATCATACTCCTCCCCAGCAACAAAAACGACAAACAAACAAAAACTCTGGGACAGAAGTTCCAACAATTTTACTGATTTCTTTTGCCATTGGAGTGCTATTTTTTTAAAACCCCAGCTAAGGCAATGTATTGGGATATTTTTTTTTAAGTCATACACTGTTTTCAAGGAGAAGTGACATTCTGATTGTCAGCAGTCTGGCCCCATTTGGGGGAGAAGGGAAACAATGAAATTCTCATTGGGGTCCAGAAATACAAGACATGTACCCAACATCCTTCTTGTAATGCCTGTTTGTCCAGGAAAGAGTTTAAAAGTTAGAGTGAGCTAATTGGGTCCCCATTGACAGGGTCAAAAGTTCAGATTGTTCAAGACCTCCAGATGATTTCCCCCTTTGGAGACTGTTGTCAGAACACCTCTAAGAAAATTCTAGACATATTCCAACCCTAACCATAAGCTTAGTCCTAACCCTCAATACATGGGGATTCTCTTTGGGGTTAGAAAATATTTTAGAACACACTCAGAGTTGTCTGTTTTTAAAAACCCTGGTGCATGCAAACTTTTAAAGCATATGTATTATTTGATTCTGTTAGATACTTGAAGCTGTATACTGGATTCTACTGCTTCATATCACAAATCACCTTGAGTGTCTGCTAAGAATATGTTTAATAAATAATTTAAAAACCTAATAGTTTACATCCACAGAGGACCAGATTATAGAAAGCTGAGCCATGGCATAAAATCATAAGTATATAGAAAACCGGGCTGGATCAGACTAGAGGTCTATCTGAATCTTCAAAAGGCATTCTTCCGTGCTATAGAAGCATGATATCTGAAGGAGCACTTGGATCTGACACATATTCAATTCTTCTTCTTCAAAAAAAACCCTCCAGTTTATGAATGTGGGTTATTGTGTTTCTGTATCCATTATATTAAAAGCTCACTACCATTCACAAAGTGACATCATGCAAGGGAAAATCCTCCTTCATCAGTTCACCACTTCTCACCCAAACACAAAGCAATTGTCAAGGCTGTTTTTCAACAAGTGTGAATGGCAGTGAGCGCAAAAGGGGATCCTGTAGACCATCTTGACTGTTGCCATTGGTGTTGTCACCATTCAGGCTGCCCTTTGCTACGTTAAGCTTGGCATCCTTTTTCCTGCTGGCAGTGCAAGCACAATATTTTGCAGTAGTAACAGGTGATTTCTTGACATTTTGAATCATGGGTACAGAAGAAGAATATCCCACGTTTATAAACTGGAGGTGTGGGTTTTTTTTAAAGAATTGAATTCCCTGGATTTTTAAAAACAGGAGTTTAAATATACAGTATATAAATATACTACATAACAGAAAGCTTCCCTCATGTACACTTGTCCAATGCTAGAGGATCTCAGAAGAGGAGCACATGATCTGCATGATGGTTTCTGGGAGGGGACAGAAGCAAGAAAAGATGGAATATGATTATAGTTCCTCTGCCAAAATATTGTGAAGGAATTTTTTTGGACTTAATAAAATGGTGAAGCAAAGGTGTGAATGTGTAACATATACAATGGAAAAATATACACACCTTTTAACCTCTTGGTTCGGCTAACGTTGCTATGCCTGCTCTGCAGAATGCAGACTAGAAACCTATGTTCCAGTTTCCAAGTTAATCAAACTGAGGAAGAAAATCTATATCAGATCTAAATCTCTATGAATATGCTGTGTGCATGCTTCCCAAAAGATGTCTCCTCAGCTTTTGATTTTTTTTTTAAGGGAGAAGTTGGAGTTAGCAAAGATTGTCACTAGAAATCAAGGTCAAAATCATCAATACAATGTGAAAGAAAGACAGAGACAGAAGTCAATTCATTTGAAATGTGGTGTTGGAGGAGAGCCTTGCAGATGCCATAGACAGCCATAAAGGCAGTAAAGGTCCTGTCTGCAGAAATGAGTAACTTAAGGCTATCCTACCACACACATATAACGAGAATACAAGAACTGACCAGAAAAGACAATATTGCTGAGGAAAGTGCTGTGGGGGGACAATAGGAAGTCCTAACATGAGATGGGTTGACTCAAGAAAGGAATCCACAACTCTTCGTTTGCAAGATCTGAGCAGACATTATTGGAAAAGACAACATTGCTAGGAAGTGGGGAGGCAGTAGGAAGAGAGAACAACCTAACATAAGATGTTGTTGGTTTGCAAGATCTGAGCAGATGATATGACAGCCTGGAAGTCATTAACTCTTGTAGTCATCACACACCAAAATTGACTTGATAGCACATAATGTCTTTGGAGATTTTTTTTTGTTAATTACCAAACAATTGTACAGTGACAAGATGGGTGGTTTTTGTTAATTACAAAACAATTGTACAATGACAAGATGGGTGGAGTGGTTGAGACAATGACATCATACAGTCACCAAAGCTCTGTTAACATCAAGACCATCCCCAGCCACAAAGAAAAAAACCCATCCCCAGACACAAAGAGAAAAAAACAGTAACTTCACAGCTTGAACAAGTGAGCTTCTAAACATTTGTTCTCTATTCTTATAAAAATATATTTTAAAATATTTTTACATATATAATCACCTTGAAATGCCTATTTGGCCAGAAATAAGCTAAAAGTTATCTTCCAGAGAGTCAGCTAATTGGGTCCTGACTGATTTGATATGCCTGTTTGGCCAGAAATAAACTAAAAGTTATCTTCCAGAGAGTCCGCTAATTGGGTCCTGACTGACAGCATCAGACTTGAAATGCCTATTTGGCCAGAAATAAGCTAAAAGTTATCTTCCAGAGAGTCAGCTAATTGGGTCCTGACTGACAGCATCAGAAATTCAGGTTACCTGAGACCTGGAGCTGATTTCTCCTTTGAAGACTGGAATCAGGAACCTGGTCTCAGAAACCCTGAAAGAATATTTACTGAAAACACTCATAGCGGGGACAAAAACAACAGTTCTGTACTTTTCTAATACAGAAATACTTAGAATATGTTCAACAAAATTGTA